TAACCTAAAGAAAAGCAGTTTGTTTGGGATTAATATTTCCCAAGAGGAGGTTCAGACCTGGGCAGCTTCTATTGGTTTTTCGGTTGGGAGATTCCCCTCTAATTACCTAGGTCTTCCATTAGGGGCAACTAAGAATGCATCTGCTATTTGGGAACCGGTGGTGCAGAATTTTCATACTAAATTAGCGGGTTGGAAGGCTGCTACACTTTCATTAGCAGTGATCAAATCGGTTCTGTTCTCACTGCCTACGTATTTCTTGTCTATGTTCAAGATTCCAGTTTCAATCCTTAAGGCTCTAAACTCGATCATGTCTAATTTTTTATGGGGAGGGGGAGGGGGAAATGGTTCAAAGAAGATTCACTGGGTTAAATGGTATGATGTATGTAAACCTAAGAACGAGGGTGGTCTGGGAGTCCGGAATCTGACTAGTATGAATAGAGCATTCCTAGGGAAATGGTTTGGGAGACTTGCAAATGAGAGACACTCTGTTTGGAGGAATTTTATCTGTAGCAAATACAACATTGATTCTTCAAGGTTACTGTTTGATAGCAAGGTTCCTCCTCAATCTTCTTGGCTTTGGAGATCGGTGGTTAACAATCATTACAAACAAGACTCTTTTGGCTCTAAGTTTCGAAGTTTGTGTAGTTTTTATGTTGGAAATGGTAAGCTTATTCGTTTTTGGCAAGATAGTTGGGCTGCAGATTATCCGCTTCAGTTTCTTTTTCCTAGATTGTTTTCGGTTTCTTCTAATAGATCTGGTAAACTTTGTGAGTTTGGGGAATTCCTTCCTTCTGGCTGGGTTTGGGATGTTCAAGTTAGAAGAAATTTAAATGATTGGGAGGTTGAACAATGGTGTAACTTGGTGAGCTTCATCTCTCCCTATTCTTTGTCTAAAGATTCCAGTGATATTTTACTTTGGAAAGGCAGTGGGGATGGTGTTTTTTCAGTCAGTTCTTGTATTAAAAGAGTTGCTTCAGGATCAGATGATGTTTGCTTCTGGAATAACATTATTTGGAGAGGTTTGGTACCCCCTAGAGTTGAATCTTTAATGTGGCAGGTTGTGCTTGGCAAGCTAGCTGTTAAATCCGAACTGATTAAAAGAGGGGTTCAAGGTATCGAGGATGATTTATGCCCTCTTTGTAAATTGGTTGAGGAAACTTCCACGCACTTATTCTTTACATGTTCGGTTGCATGGGCTTTGTGGTACAAATTTTATAATTTTTGGAGATTTAGTTCTGTGTTTCCTGCTGATGCAAAAACCTTTCTTACTGCTTGGGATGAGTTGAAATCAAATTCTTCTATTTGGACTTTCATTCCTGGGGCTATCATTTGGACCATTTGGAAGGCCAGAAATTTTATTGTCTTTGAAGGGGGAAAGCTTGATCAGTTAGAGTTATTTTTCTTATCACGAGTTAGGCTGGCTTCTTGGTTTCTAGCTAAGCACAAGGACGTGTGTATTCATAAGGATTCCTTGATTATGGATCCTTCATTAGCAGATTCCTACTCGCCCTACAGCTCTATGAAGTCTTCCTCATTCCCTTGGGGACCTCCCCCTTCTGGTTTTTTAAAATTGAATGTGGACGCAACCGTTGGTAGTGACTGGAAGAAATCGGGTATAGGAGGTATTTGGAGGGATCATTCAGGTTCAGTCCTAGGTTCTTTTCAAGAGTCAGCTGGTCCAGGACCTCCGACTATGATCGAACTTAAAGCTATTCAGAAGGGTATTTCATTATATGCTTCTGCTCAAGGGAGGGTCAAAGATAGGCTGATTGTTGAGAGTGATAGCAGGGTTGCAGTAGACTGGATCAACAATGTCAATTCATGCCCAGTTGTTTATGCTTTCGTTGTTAGTGATATAGTTGACAATCTTAGACCTTTGGGGGGTTATAAATTGGGTTGTTAGGTCAGCTAATATGGACGCCGATGCTTTAGCAAAGGCTGGAATAGGCTAATGTTTATGTTGTTTGCTGTTTCAGTTTAGCATTTGATTCCTGTTCGGGTGGGATTTATAGACTGTTGTAAGGGTTATTTCGAAGAGATTTATCGAGGTTGTAATCTTATTTTCTTTTATGAAAATCTAAGGCGCTCTTTTCCTCCTTCCAATGATTAAGGAGCTTCTTTTCAAGATCCATTAATCAAGGAGGTTTTTAATGAGGCCTTCTAATCTTATCAAAAAAAAATTAAAAAAATTTAGGTGTTCAACATTTGTACATGTTCATCATCAATTTCGAACTAAACTTGACCCTAGATCCATAAAATGCATCTTTATAGGTTATTTGTCTACTAAAAACGGCTACAAATGCTACTCTCCTATTATCAAAAGGTCATACACTTCCATGGATGTCACTTTTGTAGAACATAAACCTTTTTTTTAATAAATATGAAATTTAGGGGGAGAAATCAAATGAATTTCAATTTTTTTACAACCTTCAACATATTCAACTTATTCCTTCATACACCAAAGAACCAACAAACTCCACATCCTCGCCAAATCCTATCAATTTAACTTCTCCAGCGAAAACTCCTCCAAAACCGTAACTTGTTTCTTATAAAAAAAATCGTAACTTGGAAGGAAAGAACTTCATGTCTATACAAGGAGGGAAAAGCCTAACTCATAGGAAATCATACAACATGGGACTTGTCAAGAATTGGATCCAAATCAACTACCTCAAAAAAGTGATGAAGGTATGGAATCCTCTTACAATGAAGCTCTTATTCTCTTATTGATAATATTGATTTGCCTATTATTCAGAGAAAGGGGGGTCAAAAAATGCACAAGTCATCCTATTGAGAGGTATGTTGCATAAGGGAAGTTATTGCCTTCAATTAAAACATTCACTGTAACACTGGACAAAATCCAGAATCCTAAGTCAATATAAGAGTCTTTAAAGGGCCCTAAGGTGGAACAGATAGTAGAAGAGGAGATCACAGCTCTAGGAAGTAATAAAACTTGGGTTCTAATTGAATTACCTCCGGGAAAAAGGCAATAATTTGTAAAAGGATTTTTACAATCAAATATAACTCAGATGGGAGTGTGGAAAGGTTCAAGGCAAGGTTAGTAGAAAAGAGATTCACCCAATCTTATGATATTGACTACCAAGAACCATTTGCAAAATTAAATACAGTTATAGTGTTATTATCATTGGCAGCAAACAAAGATTGCCACTCTACCAGTTGGATATCAAGAATGTCATTCTAGATGGAAATTTGGAAGAGGATGTTTACATGAAAATTCCACTAGGTTTGAATACGATCTCAAATGATCACAAGGTATGTAAGTTAAATGAATCCCTGTATAGCCTCGAGGTAATGACCAAGGGCGTGGTTCGACATATTCACAAAGGCTTTTATGAAATATGGATACAAACCGTGTCAATCTGAAAACACATTGTTTGTAAAAATGTCTCCAAAAAAAGAAGAAAAATATTCTCATAGTTTATGTAGCAGGAGATGATACGAGAGAAATTAGCATATTAAAGGCATTGTTAGCTATTGAATTTGCGACTAAGGACCTTGATTGTCTTAGATACTTATTGGGTATGGAAGATCACAGGTTGAAATTATAATTAATCAAAGGAAATACATCCTTGGTCTACTTTTTGAAACCGGTATGACAGGATGCAAACCAACCGAGGTGAACAAGGAACAATACCAAAGAATGGTAGGGAAATTAATCTACTTGTCTCTTACCAAACCAGATATAGCTTTTTCAGTGAGTGTTGTAAGTCAACACATGAATGATCCTAGAGAAAATACCTTGAAGTTGTAAATACAATTTGAGATACCTCAAAATGACTCATGGACATGGTTTAATTTCCAGCAAAAATGAAAACAAAAAAATAGAATTTTTTTCTGTTCTGAGATAGGTTGGAGAGTCGATTGATAGGAGGTCTACAAGTGGGTATTGTTCTTTTGTACAGAGAAATTTAGTCACATGGAGAAGCAAAAAACAGTCAGTTGTGTCTATAAGTGGTCTAGAGGCAAATATAGAGCACTTGCTCTTAGACTTTGTGAAGGGACATGGATACAACGGCGGCTAATAGAAATAGAGGTGAATTGCAATTTGGATTGCAAAGTGACAGCTAATTAGCTATCAACATTGCTAAAAATCCCATCCACCATGACAGAACCAAACACATTGAGATAAACAAACATTTCATCTCTGAAAAGGTCAACAATGGTTCTGTAAAAATCAACTTTGTTCCTACATAGAAGCAACTAGCCGATGTTCTCACCAAGACCCTTCCAAGAATAACCTTTGATGAGTTCACATCTCCACAAGGTATACTCACCGGCTTGAGGGGGAGGGTAAATTGAAGTCATGTAAATACTAGTAGTTTTAATTACTGTTAATTTTTTGTATGTTAGTAGTAGTCGGTAGTTAAGTTTTACTCTAAGTCTTCTCTTATCTAAAGTTTAAATAAGTCTTATCTTATCTAGAGATAGAGGATTGACAGATAAGTTTTATTTCTAGTAGGTCTCTATGTATTTCAGCTTATAAGTGGGATCCTTTCTGTACGATTAAAGGTAAGAGAATAAAAACAAAATCCTCTTTACCAAAATACCCTTTTCTACACCATAAAAAATACTTTAGATATGGTATGATTCCTTATGCTTTAGACAAATTTATATGTTTCATGAAGCATAAACATATATAGCCATGACCCAATAGGCTGTTAGAAACAAGAGGTATACGAATAGATATATTCCATATTCCTATAAAAAAATAGATATATTCAATATCAGCATCAATAAATAACTAGGATTTGAGCATATTTTTTTTTATAAAAGTAGGAGGTCTCATTAAAAAACCCCTACATAGTTGACCTTTACCAAAAGGAAAGGGACAACTAGCGGAAGGAGGAAAAGAGTACCTCATTTTATTGATAAAAAAAGTCACTTTAGAAAGAAAAGAATAAATAAATAAATAAAAAGAAAAACCAAGACGAGGAAAGAGGAGAAAAAAGACTAACAACATAAGAGATAAGAAAGAATCTTACTGCTTTACTTCATCAAATTTCAAGTAGTCCAATGCAATTTGCAGCTGACGCATCCGTGAAAACTTCAGATCCCATCCTAACATAGCAGCAATTCAAATGAAATTTGGAAATCGAGTTCAGCATTATTTATTTATGCAACAATCTATGAGTCATCACAAGAAATATATGAAAGAAAAAATGATTACAGAAGGATGAAATCCCAAAACCGATTTTGATTAAAAAGAAAGGTCTCAATGAAAGCGCAAGTAAAACTTCTCTACTCTGGAAATACATCCCAACAATATGAATACTCCAGAGTGAAAACAAATGATACAAGAAAAAACTTATCTGAAGAGCATCACTACAAATTTTGCATATGAGAAGGTGATCTTTCATTTTACACCTCTGGATTATTCCAAAGTATTTCTCTGGAGCAAATAATGAAACAAGACAAGGAAGTATCTTTTTAAACAAACATTTTTTTCTTTAGAAACAACAATAAGAAAACATTTTACAACAGTATCCTGGCAATAAAATAAACCAATTATGTCATAGATGCCATAACCACTATTTATCTCTGCTAAATACAAGAAAAAAAAAGTTAAAGATGATAGAAGATTATAATTGAAAAAAATCAGAAAGACTTAACAGTTGCTCAAGCAACCAGCTGGGCCAATGGACGCAACTAAGTTGTCGTTGAAGCCATACCCACACCACAAACACCACTAGTGCCACCAAAAAGATTAGCCACATAATTAAGTAATCTAATGTTCAACAAGACACAAGTAAAATTAAGACTAAACTGATCATCTTTTGAATTTTAGAGTGACAGCTTTTTGTTTTTCATAAGAGTTAAAGGCCTCGTTAAAAACCCCTTCATGATTAATGGAGCTAGTAGAAAAGCTCCTTAATCAGCGGAAAGAGGAAAAGAGTGCCTTAAAATTTCATTAATAACAAGATAAGATACATAACAATTACAACACCCAGAAAGTTCCCTTACAGAAAAACTTGAAACCCCAAAATAACAACCCTTAACATCAACACTGAACTCAGCCTATTCCAGCCTTAGCTAAGGCATCAACCTCTAAGTTAGTTGTCCTAGCAACCCATCTAACAACACCCTCAAAATCTTTAAGCCTATCAACGATGTCTTTAACAATAAAAGCATACACATATGGACATAGTTCAACATTCTTAATCCAGTCCACTGCCACCTTACTATCACTCTCAAGAATCAAACGATCCTTAACAAGCCCTCGAAAAAGACAAAGAAAAGTAAACCCTTTTGAATAGCTTTAAGCTCCATCAAGGTTGGAGGACCCGGACCAGTAGGCTCCTTGAAAGAACCTAAAATCGAACCATTATCATCTCTTAGAACGCCACCTAAACCACTCCTCTTCCAGTCAAATCTAGAAGCAACATCTAAATTCAATTTAATGAAGCCCTTAGGAGGAGGAAACCAAGGAATCTTAGGTACAATCGATTTGAATACTGAACAAGAAACCCCTAGGGAAGGATCAGATATAAGAGAATCCTTAGGAATAGAAATCTCATTGTACTTGGCTAAGAACCAAGAAGCAAGCCTAAATCTTGCTAAGAAAAATAATTCGGTCTGGTCTAACTTCCCCCTTTCAAATACAATGGCACTCCTGACTTTCCAAATAGTCCAGAGTACAACCCCTAGAACAAATGACCAGATAGCATAATTGGTCTTCAAATCTTCCCATGCTAGGAGAAAACTCTTAGCATTTGCATGAAAAACATAATTGAGCCTCCAAAACTTCATAAATTTATTCCATAATGTCCACACAATAGAACAAGTAAAAAATAAATGTGAGGAAGACTCCTCCTAGGAGAAAACTCTTAGCATTTGCATGAAAAACAGAATTGAGCCTCCAAAACTTCATAAATTTATTCCATAATGTCCACACAATAGAACAAGTAAAAAATAAATGTGAGGAAGACTCCTCCTCCAACTTGCAAAGTGGGCATAAAACATCATCAATACCTTGAACCCCTCTTTTAAACAGTTTTGTCTTTACTGCCAGCTTCTGAAGAACAACTTGCCACACAAAAGACTCCACTCTTGGAGGCAACAGACCCCTCCAAATTATGTTTTTTCATAAATGAACCTCCTCCGAACCCGATGAACACAACTTAACACAAGAGCTAACAGAATACATACCATCCGCATTGCCTTTCCATATCAGACCATCATTGGATTCTTTAGATAGGCTGAAATTCGAAATGATTGACATCATATTAGACCATTGTTCAAATTCCCAATCATTCAAATTTCTTCTCAATTGAACATTCCAAAACCAGCCGATAGATTGATATTCACCAAACTCAATTAATTTGTCAAACTTGTTTGAGGAAATAGAAAACAGTCTAGGAAAAATAACCAAAAGCGGATAATCCATAGCCCAAAGATCTTGCCAAAACCGAATGAACTCACCATTACCTACTTGAAAACTACACATGCTTCGAAACTTCGAACCAAAAGGTTCTTCTTTGAATTCACCACGGATCTCCAAATCTAAAAAGCTTGAGCTGGAACCTTACTATCAAACAATAATAAGGATGAATCAATATTGTATTTGCTACAAATCATCTTCCTCTAAACAGAGTTTCTGTCATTAGCAAACCTCCAAGACCATTTCCCTAATAGAGCTCTGTTCATATTGTTAAGATTCAACACACCCAAGCCTCCCTCATTCTTTGGTTTACACACAGTGGACCAATTAACCCAATGTATCTTGTTTTTACCAATACCCCCTCCCCATAAGAACTTAGACATAATTGAATTTAGGATTTTGTTAACCGAGGCTGGAATCTTAAACAATGACAAAAAATACGTTGGAAGCAACATAGGACCAACTTAACCAATACCAATCTCCTTGCCAATGAAAGAGTAGAAGCCTTCCAACCAGCAAGTTTCTTGTAAAAATTTTGAACCACCAGATCCCAAAGAGTTGATGAATTCCTAGTAGCACCAAGAGGAAGTCCTAGGTAATCTGAAGAAAAGCACCCAACTGAACAACCAATAGTCCTTGCCCAGTCCTCAACCTCCTATTGATTCGAATTAATTCCAAACAATTTGCATTTCTTTAGATTCAACTGAAGTCCAGAAATAAGTTCAAACACTCTAAGAACCCTCTTGACATTCAAAATTTGCATCTTCGAAGCACCACAAAAGATTATGAGGTAATCGGCAAATTGCAAATGAGTTAAGTTCATAAACCCATCCTCCCTACCTATTACCAATCCAGAAAACAACCCCTCAGAAACTGCCCTTAGAAGTAATAAATTAAGAAGTTCCCCTACTAAATTGAACAACAGTGGAGACAGAGAACCATGACGAAGACCCTTTGACATTGGGAATTCCTCAGAAGGAACCCCATTGACCAATACTGACACGGAGGTTGTAGTTACATGTTTCCTTATCCAACCACTCCATTTGGAACCAAAGCCCATTTTCTCCATAACTTTAAACATAATAGGTCAATCAACTGTATCATAAGTCTTCTTGAAGACAACCTTAAAAACACAACCCTTGAGTCTTTTTTTCCTCCAAAAATCAATTCCCTCATTAGCAATAAGAGAGCAATCCAAGATTTGATGACCAGGGATGAACGCAAATTGTGTAGAATTAATGATGTCTCTGATGCAACTTCTTAACCTCCTCGAAAGGCACTTAGATAAGATCTTATATAACCATCCTATTAAGCTTATAGGTCTATAGTCATCCAAGCCACCAATGTTGGAGACCTTCGGAATGAGAGTGATGAAAGTGTGATTAATATCATGTTCCCAATCTTTCCCCATGTAATCTTTCCCCAAGTAGAAATTGTGAAAAAATTTCAGAATGTCTTCCTTTAGGACATATCAGAACCTTTTGAAAAAACCCAAATTTAATCCATCTGACCCAGGAGCTTTGTTACTGTCACACGAATTTAATGTCTCCTAAATTTCTTCCTCCGAAAACTCTTTTTCTAAAAGAAGACTTTTCTCCAAGGAAATTCTAGAAAAATTCAACCTTATATCTTCCAATTCCAATGTAGACCGAAAATAAAAAATTATGAAAAAGTGATCCCTGACAGTGGCCTTGATAACAGTAGGATCTTGGATAATCTTTCCTTTGACATTTAGAGCATTCATAACATTCCTCTTTCTCCTAACTGAAGCACAAGTATGGAAAAATCTGGTGTTGCGATCCTCGTCTTCTATCCACTTCGATCTGGAATTTTGGTACCAAATATGCTCATTTATCTTATAAAGTCTCCATAATTCTGCTCGAAAGGTATTCAACTATGCTGCTTTTTCACTATCACTTACATCTTGCAACTGTTGGATGCCCAAGGGACGATCGACGTACATGCATACAGTGACAACAAGAATCTACAGGCACTAAATTCAACTAAAATTCATATATAAAATTGGATAATGCTACTTCGAGGATAAAGGTGAACTTCACGGCAAAGGGTAGGAGGTGTTTAACCTAACAACAACAAAATCATGAATATGACATTCAACTGAAATTCATATATAAATTAAGGATTGCATTCATTTAAATAATAACTCGAGCTACTCAGGAGTTTCTAACATAGCCAATCAAAATAAGTGTCATTTTTTTTCAAAATAATATTTATTTTGAATAAAACCAATTGATATATTTATCTAAAAATTAATATATGATTAAGTTGAAAATAAGTTTTAAATATTTAACACGTATTTAAGCTAAAACTTAATTTGATAATACTTAAAATAAATTTAAAATTAATAGTTTTTATGGGTTTTTTAGTTAGAAAAAAGTATTATATAAAATATGAAAAGAAAAAGGGTAATTTTGTCCCAAATATATATTTTAACTTTCCAACTACATGAGAAAGTGACTTTCCTGCCTTTATTAAGAAGAATTGTATTCCCATAATTGACGGAAAGTAACTCCCAAAGGAAAATTATGTTCCCAATAAAATTGATGATTTGAGCTTAAACATGGAAATCGAATCACTCTCCTACCAATTAAATTCCTTGGAAACCAATTACTTTCCATCATGCCAAACACCCTCGTAAGAGAAATTAGCACAGACAAAAACCATGCAGTTCACAGTTTCCAGGTGAGTACTTCTCACACAACATAAATCACTGAACCTCCTAAAACAATATAAAAGCAGCGTGCTAGATACACACCACCTAAACATATCCAACCCTAAGCATCTAAGATAGAAGAAATTACCAGTTAAATGCTAAGTAAAGAAAATCCCAAATTCTCAAACATAAATTAGAAGGCCAAAGAACATTTCTAACAATACCCAAAAGTCAAGAATCTATTCAAATGCTCTCAAGTCCAAATATGTGAAATTGCAACAGCTAATTTACCTGAGCTCTAATAGAGATAGCAACAATATAAAATGATAACCAGCAACATGTCCATTGCAATAGACTATTAATATGGAAACTGGGTTTAATGTTTGCCCTCAATTAACTACAATAAAGATGCCTGAACAGCGATAAAAGGGTATGTTACTAACAGCAGTTACCTATTGCACATAAAAGGACCAACAAATAAATCATTGGCAACAGTTATGATGATAGTCGACAATATAATTGAGTTATATAAAACCTTTTTACAATTTAAAACTACTTAAATCGCGGTGAAGGAGGAATTGCTTAAGAGAGGAGTTACTGGGGTTGAAGATACTCTATGCCCATTGTGCAGGAAGTGCAATGAGTCGGTCTCACATTTGTTTCTGCACTATGATGTGGTGTGGGATTTGTGGGCTAAGTTTTTGAAGTACTGGAATGTTTTCTTTGTGGTTCCGGGTAAGTTGATGGATTTCTTAATTGCGTGGGATGAGCTAGTTCCGAGATCTATCATATGGAAGTTTATTCCTAGGGTTGTGGTGTGGTCAGTTTGGAAATGTAGGAATGAGGTGATTTTTCAGCAAGGGAAGGTAGATTTTGCACTGTTGTTCTTCATTACAAGATTCAGAATTGTTTCTTGGTTTGGAACTTCATTTAAGGATGTTCATATTCCTTTCGATTCTTTGATAGGGGATTTAAAATTAGCAGACTTGAATGGCAATCTGAAAAAGAGGTCTCCTCCGTCTTCTAGGTGGAGTCTTTCTCCGGAAGGGTTCTTAAAAGTAAACGTAGATGGTGCAATGGTCAAAGGTTGGGATAAGGGTGGAATAGGTGGAATGATTAGGGATGGCAGTGGTTAGGTGCTTGGGTTGTTTTCAGAGAAGCTAGGGGGAGGTCCTCCTTTACTCGCAGAGCTTTTGGCGATCAAAAGAGGGTTGATTCTTATCGAGGAAGTTGATTACATTCCAAGTCAGGATTATTTTGGAATCGGATTCTACTAATGCTCTAAAGTGGATTAATAATTCGGACCTTAGTACTTCTTTGTTTAAATCCTTGGTGAGGGATATAGCTACTCGTGTGGAAAGGAAGGGTATTCTCACAAGGCATATTTCGAGAGCTGCAAATTGGGAAGCAGATGATTTAGCAAAAGCTAGTATAGGTTGTTTTTTGGGTTTTTGTAGTGGTTAAAGGTGTCCTGCCTTGGTTGTTCTTATTAAGGGAGTTATTAGGGTGTGTTATGTATTCAGAGTTCTGGTTTAAAGGTTATGTTGTTAGTAGTTAGTATTTAGGTGTGGAGGTGTATTATTGTTCACATTAATAAAAGTTAGAGGCACTCTTTTCCTCCTTCCTAGGTACTTCATGTTATGTTTATAACATGTAGGATATTTTTTTATAGGAATTACAGGCCTCATTAAAAAATCCCTTCTTGATTAATGGATCTTTTGGGAAAGTTCCTTAATCAGCGGAAAGAGGAAAAGAGTGCCTTAGGATTTTATTGATCAATGGCACAGAACATAAAATACAACCAGAAGACAAACTAACAAAACCATAAAATTTACAGAACACTTAAACAAAACCCCCTATACGACCAGACCTCTCATAAACAATAGCAAAACTATCACAGTTCTAACAACCTCAATAAAACAAGACCTTACTGAAAACCCTCTAAGGCAATTATAAATATTCATCCAATTCCCTGTTTAGCTAAAGTGTCAGCCTCACCATTGTTGCTCCTCGGAATAAGTCTTACAATGATCTCCCTCTCCAAGATTAGGGAAGCAATTTTTTGAACCAACGACCTAAGAAACCGAGGAGATGATGTCGGCAACAAAATCCAATCCACCACTGACTTACAATCACTCTCAATAATTAACCTTCCTTTCATCGCCCATTTCGACGAGAGAAAGAAGTCAATGCCTTTCTCAATGGCTTTCAGCTCAGCGAGTGGAGGAGGACCTGGACCAACAGCGTGCGAGAAAGACCCAAGAATTTTCCTTTCCGAGTCTCTTAAAATGCCCCCAATTCCCCCAGCAGCCCATCCCCACTAACTGCCCCATCAACGTTAACTTTAAAAAAATAAAGTGGAGGAGGAAGCCATCCCTGAACCTTCATCCTTTTAGGTTCCCTAGTTGCTTGTCAGCAAGTGTAGGGTCCCCAACAAGAGAGTCAACCTGAATGATAACTTTCGGGTACTTAGCTAGGAACCATTTAACCAATCTAAATCTGCATATGAAGAAAAGAGAAGGTCTATCCAGTTTCCAATCATCAAAAACCACCGAGTTTCTAGCCTTCCATAATGACCATATAACTACCCCCGGTATAAAGCTCCATATTATTGACTTTGGCCTTAAGTCCGACCATGAAGACAGCAAAGAAACTGGATCTTTAGGCAAAACTGACGAGACTCCCCATAACCTCCAGAAACTGCTCCATAGGTCCCATGCAACCAGACACGATATGAACAAATGCTGAATTGTTTCCTCCTGTTTCGCACAAAACGGACAAGAGACCTCCTCCAAAGTAACACCTCTTCTTATCAACTCCGTTCTAACTGCCAGTCTTTGATGAGAAACCTGCCAGAGAAAAGTTTCAACTCTAGGCGGAGCCAAACCTGACCAAACGAACCTTTTCCAACTGAGGCTACCCCCTGAGTTGGAAGAAAGGGTCAACTTGCAAGCTTTAGTGGTGAACAATCCATCTCCCTTCCCCGACCACGCCAGAAAATCATCCACCGAATCATACAGACCAACATTCTCCAGTAATGACATCAATCGGATCCAGTAATCCATCTCCCAATCACAGAGATTTCTTCTCGTTTGAATGTTCCAAATCCATTTATTACTCATGAGACTGCCAAACTCTGAAACTTTTCCCCACTTCTTGTTAGAAAGAGCATAAATCCTTGGAAATTGATTCTTTAAGGAATCCTCATTTAGCCACACATCATGCCAGAATACAATCGATTTTCCATTGCCTATTTGAATCTTCGAATGAGATCTCAAACCATTTCCAATTGCGTCCTCTGCCAAGTAGTTTTTTGTAATACCCTTCCATATCCAAGAATCCGAAGGAGAGACTACCTTGTTGAGGTCTAAAGACAGAATACTCACATTATGTTTACTGCAAATCATGTTCTTCCAAAGTGTGTCTTTTTCATTTGCGAACTTCCATACCCATTTACCTAGCAACACTCTGTTAGCGAAATTCAAATCCAGGATTCCCAAACCTCCCTCCTCTAAGGGTTGGCAAACCCTTTTCTAGTTTACCCAGTGAATTCGGCATTTTGAAGACCCTTCCCCCCACAAAAAGTTTGCCATAATAGAATTCAACTTCCTATAAACCTTACTCGGAATTCTGAAAATAGAGAGGAAGAAAATTGGCAAGGAGGATAGGACTGATTTAATCAACACTAATCTGCCCGCCATAGATAGTGTTGAAGCTTTCCATCCGGATAATTTTTTGTTGAAACTTTGCATGACTGGCTCCCAAAGAGCCTCTGAGTTTCTTTTTGCACCTAATGGTAAACCTAAATACACTGTTGGAAGAACCCCAACGGCACAACCAGTCTCCTTAGCCCATATTCTATAAAAAACTACTTAAATTAAAATTTCAACAGAGTTACACTTATAGGCTCCAGCTATGATGCTAGTCAACAACAAGATTGAGCGAATAATACTTTGTTTACTATATACAACATGAAAAACCTATCACTATTAAAGGAATTCAACGTCTATAGGAAGTGGCAATACTAATTCAATAAAAAAATTCCCAGTTCCAAGCCCATACAACCTCATAACTACAAATTTGAAGTCAATGCTATAAAAACAATACTCGCCTCATAACACAGACCAGATATTCCAGCCTCTCTTTAGTAGTCACAAAATTTTCCATCACTATCTTATTTTTTCCCCCTTTTCTAGAACTAAAAAATTCATAATTTCCATTTTTCTAAAGCTACTCTCCAGGATCAATGCACAGAGTTAACTTAGTCACCAGCACCTTGGGATATCAGCGGCTAAACCCCAGCCACCATAACTAAATATCCATTATGAATTTGACCAGAATAGAACAGACGTTGATTATCAGGAAGACATCAGTTCTGTATAGTTAGTTAACAGTTCAGGAAAAGCCTCAAAGACAGTAGAAAAGATATGCATGAGAATGATATTTAGGATGCTGGACATGCTAGATTGTAAAGAAGACAATAAAAAACTTGATATGGAAAACAATTGTAATCACCAAATTTTTGCTGATATATTCAAGTAAACCGTAATAAGTTTTTTTCTCACCATTTTCCAAGCATAAACGATCTGCCTCTTCAGGACCTTCATAGAGAAGAACTTTATCCAAAATTTCAACTTTCCAAGGTGACCATAACATTTTTGGCTCTTCCAGTCCCAGAATATTTTTTGTGTGACATCCAACGCCAGTACCAATACCTGACTGCTGATAATCAGTGGTTTCAATGGGAAGGAGATTTGATGAAACCGAAACAGAGGGGAGAACTACCGAAAGACCACCATCAGCCACCAAATAAAAACAACCCTGGAAAGTACAACCGACAGCTTCTCCAATAGAAACTTCTACTCTTCCTTGGAGAGAAAAATTTTTGCTTCCCAAATTCAAGAATCTATCATCTTGGACTATCGAATCTGTGTGCAAATTAAAATGTACAATTTGAGAACTCTTGCGGTCCTTGATATTCTGCCTTCTAATGAACCGGGTAATCCCAAAAGGAGAAAAACAAATACAGTCATCATCACTATATCTATCTGTAGGAAGAAAAATCTTTCGCATAAGGTGAAAATGTATTTTTGAATCATGAACTTTCTCATTCATTACTTTTGAAGCTGAAGAAAAACCATTCAAGATTGAATCAGGAAGGCACTCATTTCCATAACGTTTCCAGCCATGGATTTTCTGAAGAATATTGTTTCCAATATTATCACAAAAGGATAAAATTTCATTCGTTTTGGAAGAACTATTTAAATTGCAAGAATTTGAAGAACCAATATATATCTTTTGGTGGCTTACATCCGAACTCCCTACATCCCAACCAACCAACATCCCAAGTCCTAAATGCTGATAATGTGGAAGCAATTTTTCAAATGCACAACACTTGTCTGGTAGACAGTCCCCAGCATATATCACATACACTATATTGAATTCATCAACCACAGCCAAAAGAGGTGTATATGATGCAACAAGTAGCCTCTTAAATGTTCTTCTACCAAATAAATCACTATGCTGATAATTTGACTTGTTTTGCATATCATCATTTAGAGTTGACCTTTCTGGTTCACGCAAATTCGCAAAACACTGTAACTCACAAGCCCGTAAAATATCAAGATGTGCAACATGCTCACCAGACACTGCGTTATAAAAGAACACTAAGCCAGAAGCATTGAGGCAAATAAGAAAATCACCAGAAAAGTGGAAGTCTTTCCAATCATCCAGTGGAAATGTATTTTCATTTTGTGGAAGCTTCACCAAAGAAACCCACTGAATTCCCCAAATATTCAACCTGGCAATGACAATTATATTCTTAATCCTTTTTTCACTTCCATCAATAGCATTGAAAGATGCAGAGTTCATGAGTGTTAAAAAGAATCCAATTATATGATGAGAACTGCTAGAGAACACTCTGCAGCATTTGTATGAAGTGCTGGAACCAACATCAGAAGTATCCAACTCAACATTTTCATGGGAACCATTTTTTAGATTTCTAATAGTCTCTCGGCAGCCCTCCCCACTTGATGAAGAGTTCTTTTTACTAAGGAATCTCAGAACTGGGAAATCACTAGTAAAAATGCTAAAAGAAACAACCTTCGCAGAGCAAGGAAATGATGATTTAGGAGGAAACCTGGTCCAAATGCCACCCTCATATTCAACAGTTTCAGCTTTAGTGAAAAATGATCGCAACCACCTCTTTGAAGTGTCAGTTCCTGACAATACGTCAGCTCCAACTTTCTTACATATCTTGTCTGGAACTCCTAAATTTCCATTTGTGATGCTATTTTCAATGGTTTTCTGAGACGCTTCAAAAGACAAATCAATTGTCTTCTCTTTATTGTTATGTTGAAATGATGAGGACGAAGGGCCCCACTCAACCCATGTCCCTTCCCTGAACTCACCTGCTAACATTGCTTCAGTCACGCGGCTCTTGTCAGGCTGGGAGAAGGCATGTACCATCACACCTTGATTGCCAGACACAAAAAGAAGTTCTCTAAATGAACCATCTTTGTGCTGATTATAGGTATCCCCACACACACCCCAAGCCAATGAGTTTACATCATAAATAAAGGGATAACCGTTACACCTTGAAAATCCAGGTTCAAGGGAAATACCGTTATCAGAATCTATTGCTGATCCAGAAGTGCATGGAATATCATCCTTTAAATTAGACCTACAAGCTAATAAATCTAAATTTTGGGGTCTCTCATCATGATGACTTTGACAAATATCAGCATCTACAGAGCCCCCTGCAAACCAAAAGGGAAAAGTCAACAACTGTAAAAGTAAATCAAATACCCATGCAATTGAAACCAAGTTCACAACAACAGCAAGTAATTGATTAAAGGAAGCCCCATCTGAAGACCTTCCAACCCAAACAAAATGCAATACGATTTTGGCAGTCTAGAAACAGAGAATAAGAAATATTAACCTGTAGTCAAAGGAAGTAGCAAAGCTTGGCATTGGTACGAAAGCAATAACAGTAACTCCCTTGTCGGAGATATAAATGCTTCATGATATTCCGACAGATTGAGTGGCAACTCTGAGGGACCCCATTTATGTAACTGCAGTATAGCAGGACCCTCACCACTGGCAGTATGGTCCATTCTGTTCATAAGAAGAATCAAAGATGCAAACCATAAATACTATAATCATACAAAAATCTAAGTCTAATTCCTAAAATGCATTTTAACATTTAACATTGCCATGTAAAACCAATCTACTATGCATCCCAATCTACATGCCTATGCCAATCCTATGCCAATCTAATCAGAAGAAAGACATCTACAAAATAATCATTGCAAAACAGTACATGGACTAGTGCAATTCATTTTAATGCACAAGTTGCAAAAGGTATTCCAGTAATCGAACTGATAAGATAAATCAATCACATTTTCCTCCAGTTCAATCATGGGCGGGGACACTCTAGTAGAAGGGGTGTAACACCCCAAACCAAAATTTAAAATATATATTTATAAAAATATTAAAAATAAAATCGATCCCATTGTAAAAGAATATTGGCACCACCTAAAGTAAATTGACAACCGCCGTTTGCTTAAACTCCATTCGCTTGCATTCATAACAATTATAAATAAATAAACTAAACAAACAAACAAAAAGGATAGAAAATTTTACTAAGTGAACCTAAGTTAATAACGTTTACTGTAGCATTTAAAAATCAATCCATTTCTTCCGTCTACACTGATTCGTTTTTTTCAGCAATCAACCCGAAGCTAGCCAATACCACCCCCCACCCCCCCGAATTAACTTCGAAAAAGAAAATCTTCTAAACGAATTCAATAAGAAAATGAATCGTGCATCAATTACACGATTAAAATAGACTAAACAACAAAATTACAAAAGAAATCTAGAAAATTAGATAGGAAAAAAGACGATACGAATAGATTCTAGAATGAACCTGGAGAAGTTAAAACGGATAACTTCAATTGAATAACGACATCTCCACAAATCGCAAGAGCCTCTGAGCTTTTTCTCAGCAAACAAGATTGTTGTTTTTCTCCTTACGTGCTTGTTCTCCTCTCCCTTTTTTTTCTCCTTGTTTCAGGGGGATTTGAGAGAATAACTTTTTATTTATTATTTATTTTCGAGAGAAGACTACAGACATGTCGAAGTATGAAGGTTCGGGGGAAGAAAGAAGCCAAGGAAATCGAATGAGGGCCTTTCGGTGATTTCCTCTCTTTTCTAGGGTAAATTATAACTTTAGTATCTAAACTATTAACTTTATTCCGTTTTGGTATCAAAATTTTATTTTGTTTCAAAAATATACCTAACGTTTAGTTTAGGTTTCATTTTGTTATCTTCTGTTAAAAATTTAACAGTGATGTTAACGTGTCACCATTACATAATATCACGTCATCTTTGAATTTTTTTTTTAAATGTTAGATCAATATTAATAATAGGTACCAAATTGAAACCTAAATTAAATATTAAGTATGATTTTGAAATAAAATAATATTTAGGTACCAAAACAGAATACAAATAATAGTTTAGAAATTAAAAATGTGTAATTTACTCTTTTTCTATTATCTAAGCCGGGATTGAAATAGTATGTACGTATTGGGTTATAATGGATGAGAGGAAATGTGTTCTGTAATTTCTCATTGATCTTAAGGCATATCCACCTTTATTACCAAAATAAAATATAATCTAATATTTTTAATTACTCTTATTTGAAAATATAATCTCAATATTATCTTCTTTTTAAGGATTATATTATTAATATGATATTTGTGATCATTATTAATTATTTTAATTTAATTACTTATTTAATATAAATGAGTTATTATTATTATTATTATTAAAATAGTTATATAAACAAAAATTGAAATTAACAAGTAAATAAATAATCATTCATCAAAATTAAAGAACAAAAAATTGTTATAATAAAACTATTTAGATATGTACCTGATGGTGTACTTTACTTTAGGTAAGAAGGCGTCTACTTATTAAAAAAATTAATGTGGTTATCGTATTATTTTTTTATCTAATGTGGCCCTTCAACACAAAAAAAAACTTAATCTAACCCTTTAACCGACGTTTTTTATCATTAATCAACGACGTCGTTAATTCTTACTGATGTGGCATGTCAACTAATCCACCTCCCTTCGCTTAATGTTGACTTGGCGTTGATTGGATTTATATTGATCTAAGTTAGAAATTAATTAATTAAAAAAACTTTTACATTAGAAATCAATCGTCGGTGACGACCACCGCCGATGGTCATCTCAAACAAAAGGATAAGGTCGAACTTTTTTGGCCCCCTGAAGTCGAATATGTTGTTTGTTTTCCCAGACATCTCCTCGATCATTGCAGATCTACAAAATGATTCTTCGACCGCTGTGGGTTTCATCTCCTCGATCTTCGTCGTTAGTCGTTGGATGAAACCACCTCTTCAGTATGTTGCTCTCATTGTCATGGTAACATCTTCACCGTTAGGATTTACCAACGGCCATCGGGAATGCCGCAAACCAAGAGCTCCTTATCCTCGATGTCCCCCTCTCATTTTTCTTTTCATTTCAGCTTTGGTTGCTTGTTTGGGTTGTTGCGTTATTATCATTTACTTGCATATGGTCATGGTGTCCATCGCTGGTTGTTGAAGCCGACGAGAGCAGTTGTTGACTACAATAGTGGAGTGCTCAATGGTTGGATTGTTTGAAACCCTCATGTTTGAAAGCCACATCTTCATTGTTGATTGCTTTTTTTTTCTTTTTTTTTAATTAATTAATTTTCAACTTAGATTAATATAAACCCAGCCAACGTCGAGTTAGCATTAAACGAAGGGAGGTGGATTACTTAACGTGCCACGGCAGTAGGAATCAACGGCGTCCTGGATCAATGATGGAAAACATCGAACAAATGGCCAGATTAAGTTTTTTTTTTAGTTTGAGTTGGATTAAAAAAATAATATAAGAGACACATTGATTTTTTTTAAAGTACGGGATCTTAAGTGCCCTTTCGTCTTTACTTTATTATACATTTTCTAAATTAATTATTATATCAATTAAATAATTTATAGTATATTTGATAATATACATCGTTTAAATATTAATTGTAATTCATTTTCAAAATCAAACTCAGGAAATCTCTCTTCTTTTCTCTTTAAATAATTAATTATTGTATTTTAATGTTTAATTATATTATTTTTGATTTTTTTAAAATTTTAAAAGTTATTACGAATTTGTTAATAAAATTTAATTATTAAATAAATTTTGTAATATCAATAATCATGTACATTGAAATGTAAAAATACTGCATAAAGTTGTGCATACTAAATAAAATTTCTCCTTAAATAAATATGTTTTTAGAATGGTGCATTATAATGACTAAAAAAATTATGAACATTTATTACTTTATAATTACTTCAGACTATTTAAAAATAAATAAAATTTATCGACGAATATATTTAATTAATAATTTGATTATAAATAAATGTTTTTAATTAAAAAAAGAATTATATTCTAAAACTCATCAAGTAATCTCTTAAATGATTAAAAAAGTTTATATATTAGACTATTTAAAAAAAAGGTATATTCTATCAATAAATATTAATCAATTAGATGATTAAGGGCGTGGCTTCAGGACCAACATGAATGCGCAAACAATTTATACTATTCCTGTTACTCCGTAGAATTGTAACTGAAGTTTCAGACCTTATTGTCGATCTCGGTGGAATCCAATAACTCTCGTTTTTCGTGATTTGTTGGTCGGACCTGAATGCATCCGTCGTTCCTTTCCGCCAGACTTGGACGAGGCATTACCGTACCAGATCATTCCTACAACTGCAATGACCAAATCCAGAATTACACGTAGGTTAAGACCTTCTTTCCCAAAGAAAATGGACCCTAAAATCAAGACAGGAATGGTCTTCATATGGCCAAGCACTTGGAACTATACGGCGGTAAACCTGCCAATGCAGATGAACTGGCTGAGGTTGGTTCCCACTGCAGTGGTGCATGATAGGATTGTAAACTGCATGCAAAAGAGAAGCACATATCATTTTATACTAACGATTTACCTGCAACCAAAACCATATTTAATATTCATATCTGAACTTTGCATATGCACGACCACGATCGAATCTAATTACAAATGAAAATATATCCACAAAGACACCACCATAACTTATTTTAAGAGCATAAATATAACATGTATTAAGTTATTGAATCAGCTTAATATATTAAGTGAACTCAATGTTAAAAGAGAATATTGTTCTCCATATGTGTAACACCCCAATTTAGGGGCTAAATTTTAGAAATTATAAAATATTGGATTTAATTGGTATTTTGAAAGAAATCGTGGATTAAATTGTAAAATTTTAAAATTGGTAGACCGTTTTAAGAAGTGCAGAAAGTTCAGTGACTAAACTCATAAGTTAGCCATTTTTTATGAGAGAATTATAAGTTATCTTCCCCTTAGTGTTTTCCACAAAAAATCTCTATTTTCCTTCTCCGGTCAACCCACTTTCAACTCCGATCTACTCATCGACCGACGTCCGATCGACGAACTGAAATCATCATCGTGGTCGTTGTCGACCGATGAACAAAACCCCTCAAACTTTTCGTCGTGAATTGTCGTTGTTCGTCGTTAATTTCAGTCGGAAGTATCGTCGGTAATAACTCGATTTCAGTTGGTTTTTCATTGATTCACGACGATCCGATGATCCGTTTACGACACCTCCCGCACCATCGTGTTCCTTGCATCGTTCCGAGTCTGCCGGTGTCATCCTTAGTCTCCGTCGACGGCGGCGCATGAGGAGGAGAAGCGGTCAAAGTTTCCAATTCGTTGAAATCGAGCACTCCACCGTTCAAAAATGTGAACCGAGCTTAGTGAGTGCCTCGAAATCGCTTAAAATAATTTTTAGGAATTTTTCTGTAATTTATAAGCTGCCGGAAGAGGTCCCACGCGCCGCCACTGCGAGTGGGGAAAGGAAAAATGACCGGTTTGACCGGTTCAAACCCGACCCGATCCGTTTACCCGACCCGACCAGTTGACCCGACCCAACCCATTGACCCGACCCGTTGACCGCTGACCACAGTTGACCAAAACTTTGATCGGCTTTGACCAGCCATTAAACGACCTTTGACTTTGATCGAGTATACTTATCCTGACGTTTTTCGACGTCCCAAATCCGATTTTGCAGTTCGTTTTTCGAAATTCGGACCCAAAGGCCTCGAAATTACCAGTCAAACCCGTTGAATTTGATTTTGACCGAAAATTCCAAATTTTTGAAAAGTCATGTTTTATGCTTTCGACGTCTTGAATCCGAATCCGAAGTCCGTTTCGCCAAATGTGAACTCGGTAAGCTATTTTTCATTGATTTATCATCTGATTCGATCCGTTTTTCAGAATTAAGTTCCGTTTTTGATATAATTTATGTTGATATGGATCCGAGGAAATATTGGAAGATGATTTAAAGATCGAGGGCGTTCGAATGGAATTTAATGGTCGATCAGTATTGCACAAAAATCGAGGTAATACTTTACTACCTCTTTATGCTTTATGAAATATGTTGATATTGGTAAATGCATGAATAAGATAATGTTGGTCACTTTTGTGGAGTTGAATAATTTATACACTCGATATGAATGTGGTAGAAATTCTGTAACTGAATACGGATCGAATGATTAATATAAGAGATTGAGGAATTTTTAAAATTAAATTACAAGTTTGTGATTAGTGATAAAGAAATCAGCCCTGGATTTGTAACTTATATTTTATATCATCAAAGGTTAAATGTTAAAGGTACTTGGATGGGAAATTATTAGAATACTCCTGTAGGGTAAAATTACGAAAATACCCTTATGTTGTAGGATGACAAGAATTATCCCTAGAAGTTGGTTAATAACTCTGAAATGACATATTGATATGATATAATTACAGATGTGCATAAGAAATGATTGTTTTGTTTAGAAAATTTGGATAACTGGTTTTTAACGCCAAAAATGGTTTGTGCAAGATGCTAGAAGTTTTTTAAGGAATAATTTCAAGATCAGAGAATGTTCGGGAAAGCAATTGAACATAGGATCTTTAAATTATAAT